ATGATAAAACACAATATGACAATTTTTTAATTACATCAAGTAATAATTATTTTACATCGAGTTTCAGTCAATTTCTTTCACAGAAAGTCACGTTATGTTACACGCAAAAAAATCACCAATAAATATGGCTTTGAACGATACAACATCCTTACTACTTTTTCTTATTACCGAATGTAAACTCGGGTTGCTTTTTTACAATATCGTTTCAAAAAATTGTATTTCTATTACATTTTACAAGAGTTAAATCCACATTAAAGAAAATAAATCAAAATAAACAGGTTGATAATATTTTTTGAAATTATTTTACATAAAGAACTGATTTCCCAATGTCACCTACAATCCAATAAAAAAGCTTCATCGCGCAAAGCGAAAAAAAGAAAAAAAAAGAGCCGCCACTTTCGTCTTAAACACGTTAATACAGGCCTTGACTTTGTTGCGTCGCGCGCGCAAAATTGAATTATCGTATCCCCACTACATGTATATTCCACTACCGAAAATCCGCACGCGTCGTCGTCTGCAGGCGATAATCAGCTGAGCGCGCCTCGAGGGATTCCGCTAATTATAGCTTTGCGCGCGCGCGCGTTCCGTGAGTCAGCCGTTGCGAGTGCGATAAAAAAGAGAGAGAGAGAGAGAGAGAGAGAAAAGCCGTCTGCCGCTAAAACCGTGATAACGCGAAAAAAAATGAGAATGACTTAGAGATAAGGAGCGACAGAGAGAAAGTTTTGATGACGGTTGTCATTTGCATGTCGGTCAGAGAGAGAGAGAGCAATGCACCTATAGTTTGTTCTTTTGACTTTTAGATTTTTGGATCCAATGCAGATGTGGAATTTCCATTTCTCGTATGGTCATCATGCGCAGTGGTACTGCTTGTTTTCTTGCGATTTTTATTTTGGGAATGAACTTGTTTGGGTCGTTGGGTCGTTATATGGAGTGAGCTTGCAACTGGGTCATCGATGATTTATTTTTTTAATACGCGGACTGACGATTCAAATTATGCGATTTTAATTTGATAGTCATTTACAAATCTTCAATAACTAGCGTATAACGAATCCGATTGTCAAGGATCGCTGCTATTTCCATCAAAATTCCACAATCAACAAACCCCAAACATTCAGCACAATACACCGATCCGCATGACAAGGAAAAAAGGAAAAAGAAAAATAAAAAACAAAGCAACGTATGCCCACGCGCGAATTGTCCGAATTACGCAACTACACACACGACGAAGGCTTGTATAGCGGCCTTCTGTGCTGTGCACGATCGGTTCAATCGCGACGGCTGCAGGCGGCCCGCGTGAGTAAATAAACAGTCGAAGAGCTCTCGATAACTTTCGAGGCCTCGTACAGATAGATAGGCGCGTCGCTCGCGCGGGATGCGCGGCGAGCAAATATTTGCGCGCGAACGGGTGCCTATGCACACGCGAGGTCGCTTCTTTTTTTTCGCTAGTTTTTTCTCTTGTAGAAAGAGAGGAAGGCTTATTTTTTTTTTTTGTTATGTCGAGACGTTCAATTAAATTTTATTCAGAATCGTAAGAGGATTGAAATTTATCGATGATTCATCTCGTGCGTTTTTAAAAAATTGTAAAAATCAATGCGTGGGATAAGCTTAAACGTAAAATATGAATTTGCAAACTTACGTTTGTATCTGTTGATCGTTTATAACTCTGGTGCACGTACATTCGGGAAAACCTTATTTTATACAATGTACTTATTTAACAGCTTAAATCTCATGACAACAGCTTGCTGGAAAAATTCAACTCAATTTATGAATTTATAAATTATTCGCATTACAGTATATGTAAGTCCTCTTTATATTCGACAACGCTTTAACAAAATCGTATGCAGATCGCACCACATTGCAAATGTGTTAATTATAATGAGCCAAAACTTACTTTCTCGAGCGAAACGAAAAGAAAAAAAAAATGAAAAATTATTATTCATGAAAAAATGCTTTCGCGGACCATGCCATTCTACCGGATTGTATAAACAAGTGTAAATTGATGCATACAACTGTCTCGGAATGCAAATGAAATTATTGCGTCGCTTTGCCATCACAATTATACAGCAGAGAGATAGTTACGATGAAAAATTTACGTACTTTCGTGTTATCTTTCTCTCTCGACAAAAGAACAAGTGTATAATAGACCTTGCCATATTCTGATCGGTTTATCAAAAGCACGCGAAGGCAATTCCGTATCAACGATTCGTTTTTTCACTTTCTGAGCGTGGAGCGTTGGAAAATAGATCTAGTTGACAAAGTTTTCCGACGTGAATAAATAGCTGAAAACTCCCCAAGAAGATCTCGTGAAATCGAACGTGGTATTTGCGTGTAGGTCATTCGAAAATACATATTTTTAGCTGTAATAAAGACACTCTCGTAATTTCAATGTCAAGTTTATCAGAACAAAGAAAGGATTTCTTTTTTGCTTTTATTAATAAATGTTAAATTTTTAGGGAACAGGCAGGATCCATGTTAAATGTACTTCGCAGAGAAAAGAAAGATCGCCCACGAGAGCGGAATCCAAACGATCAAGATCGACTAGGCCGCCATCTGGTCATACATCAAATGCATAATCGACAATTCAAAAGTTTACGGTGCATGCGTAATAGCATAACCGAAAAGAAAGAAGAAAAAGAATACGCCGGTCGAATTTTTTTTTATGTTTTCCTTTTCCTTTCGCAATAATGGAAACGCGCTTCGATTAGAAATCGAGGTCTAACATTGAGAACTTTTTGTTGTCTGCTCCTATTATCTTGACGGTTTATCGATGAAGTTTCTAAACGCACCACACACACACACACACACACACACACACACGCGCGAGAGTCAATCGATTCAAATGATTAATTCACTAAACTTTGGACTTTTTTTTTTGAGCGTTAGGATCTGGAAAAACAAACTGTTTTCTTGGACAAATTCCTTTTCTATTTTTGTGCTTTCAAGTCGAAGCACTCTTCATCGTTTACCACGGCTCCAATTCATAGTACTTTTATAAAGATAAAATGACGACAGTAAGATCAGAACTATATGTAACTCGGCGCCAAAAAAAAATTAACTGCTATACACTAAAGTATCTGTGTAGCGGGATCACGACAAACAATGATATTTACATTCCTTCGCTCAGAAATTTAAAAATACATCTCTCTTGCGGTCACATAATATTTACTGTCATCTGTGACTATTGAAAAACTTCGCTTCTATAGACAGTAATAATCGTTACGAATTAAGCGCGCGCGCGAGAGAAGAAAAAGGTTCGTAGGAGAAGGACGAGGTGGGGGGAGACACAAGCGTAGTTAGTTAGACAAAGCCACGCGCGCAGTAAAAAGCTAGAAAGGAGATACGCATCTACAACTATGTATGTACTGCACGCAAGCGCGCACAAGGTCGAGTATCGCGTATATACTATTAGTGTTAGTATGAGTAAGCGTCTCGCCGACGACGAGGCACAGCACACGAGGACGACGTGTGAAAACGAGAGCTGTGGGGACAATTGAAGAAATTTTTTTCAATTTTGTAACGCACAGCGTGTATTAAAGCGCTTGATAAATAATCAAAGAAGGGAAGATTTCTACTCGACGTCGAAAAGGAAAAGGCTGCTCGAAATACCTGCTTACAATTTCAATGGGACAACGTGTGGATGAGAGCGGAGAGCGGGCGCAAGGCCCGAACACCTCCGGTGCGAAAGGCGAAAGTGATTCGTCCGAGCGGAGGGCTTTTATAATACGAGCGCACGAGTAGGTACACATCAAGTACGCGTTCGCGCCAGCATTAGCAGCAAGGGAACTAAGAGAGGTGTACCTCGGTCGCGTTTTCGAACGCTGCGCGTACTGCAGCTCTCGATTCGCAGGCGCAGTTGCCGAGTGAAAGCTTTGCTTCAACGTTGTCTTCGTCGACCCCTTTGGCATCTGCCGTCGTTCGACGGGAAGAGAAATTTTTTTTCGAGTCGCCGTGTCCTTTCGCGAAGATAGTTCTGGATAAAAACGACAAAGTAGAGTCGTACAAAAAACGCAGAGAGAGAGAGAGAGAGAGAGAGAGAGAGAGCGCGTTCGTTGGCTTTTATCGAGAGCGCTAGATCGTAAACTAGGACATGTAGTCAAGCTCTTATCAGGCTGCTCCAAAAACCGCGTCCTCAAATCGTCGTTGAACTTTCGTTCAAATGCGCGCCGCGTACATCCGAAAAAAAGAGAGAGAAAAAAAAAATAACGCGCTCGCTTTTCGTGGAGCGCTCGAGCGCGCTCTTTTTCTCTTCGCACCTGTTACTCAATCTCGCGCCGTGCTCGCCGCGCTGTCATGCGCGCGGACGAGGAACCAGTTATTAAATAAATCTAAGAAACATCGACGCTCTCTTGCTGTGGGAATGGTCGTTATTCAAATTGCGCAGAGTGAGAGGAAATGATTCACGATATTCTCAGCCATTAAGTGATTCACTTTCTATCCTCTTTGTGATAGACAATGAAATTAAGAAGAAAAATAGTCTGCTCATCCATCAACCCGACAATACCCAACTCCATAGTGAAAAAAAAGAACTTGCCGTTACTCGACTAATTAAAAAGCTCATCCGTATAATGTCGATGGCATCGGTCATTTCTCCGTGACAACGACTTGAACTTTCGTCCGAAAAATCGACGAGCAGCAGCAGGCGCAGCAACCCTTTCACCTCTCTCTCTCTCTCTCTCTCTCTCTCTCTCTCTCTCTCTCTCTCTCTCTCTCTCTCTCTCTCTCTCTCTCTCTCTGTACACCTGGCTGAAAAGCGAAGTGGTAGTAAGAGTAAAAATCGTGCGGCGGGCTTCTCGCGCGGCGTTTAGCGCTGCGAGCGGCATTGCGTATACCACCACCACCACCAACACGTTTATAGCTCCACCTCCACTCTCTTCGCTTGCTGCCGCTTTTTCCCTCCTTCTCTCTCTCTCTCTCTCGCTCTCTCTCTCTCTCTCTCTCTCTCTCTCTCTCTCTCTCTCTCTCTCCTAGGTGAGCGCGCGCCCGCAAAGAGCAGAGCTGCCTCAGAGCGGCGGCCGCAGCGCAGCGACTCTCTCGCGCAAAAGTAAGACTGCGCGCGCCGAGTACAGACCGGAAGAGAGTTTGTTTCAGACACATACACAAGAGCGAATCGGCCTCTATCTCGAGTAGTACAACTATTTTATTATTTGTTTATTTCGGTTTATTTGCGATTTTCTTTCGAGTTCGACGTCGATTAATTCGGCGCCGTCGTCAGCGTCTTTTGGAATTTTTCTAGTGTATTTTTTGGTGTTGTTTTTGCAAATTATTCGTCATCCTAGCGGAGATTCGTTTTAAAAAATTCGAACCAAGACAAGACACAAGAGAGCGATACATATGCAGAAAAGTGTTTGGCTGTACATGTGAGTGCGACGTATATAGTGGGTCCTTGAGAAGTAAAAGTGCGCCAAGGCCTCTTTCTCGGCTCTTTTCACACTCTCTTACTATCTCTCTCGGATTTAGTTATAATAGACACAGCGATGATGATGACGAGGACCAGCTGACACATAGCCAGCTTTACTTTTTTATGTGTTGGTGGTTTTCAAAAAAAGAAAAGTGATATACCTGTGCCGAGGAAAATATGAGTCCGATAAAGGACTGATATAACGACAATTGTGTGCGCAGAATCCAGACGAGAAAAGCTTAACTGCATCTATTCGCCACGCGCGTGCTGGGGAAAAGAACTACCAACGAAAGGTTGGTACACTTTTTGTTCTATGGACTTTTGTGTGATAAATGTGCGTGTCAGTGAAGGTTTGTGCACGTCGAGCAAAAAAAAAAAATTGCGTAATGACTCCCCACCAAGGGATAAAGTTATTGTCAACAAAAGCGGATAAGGGAATACCCCGCGTGACGGTAGCAAACAACACTAGACGTGCGAGTGATGACGAGCTCGTGTGCGATTAACTAAAATAGAAATACCATAAAAGATTTTTTGACGAGTTTCCTATAGAAAATACGTTTTAGCTATATATATATATATATAGAAAGAGAGAGAGAGAGAGAGAGAGAGAGAGAGAGAGAGAGAGAGAGACGAACACAGACACACACGTGCTTTCATTATTGATTTCCATTCCGTAATCTCGCGCGCTCGCTCGCGTAACGTAACGTTACCCCCGCTTTCACTCAAGAATCGTATAATACTTGGACGCCGTGTTGTACGATATGCGATTATCATCGCGTCGCAATAATATACTCGACATGTACATATGTGACGACTGCGTTCGGTAAGTGCATTTGACGACTCGACGTGCTTTTTTTCTTTTATCTTTCACAACTCGGATGGATTAGTTGTTTGTTTATTTATCTATTGTTCGGTGGATTTTTGATATCAATTGGATCGCGAACGCCGATGAGACTTGAAAGCAGAGCTGGGAGCGGGAATAAAAAAGCAACTGAAGGACCCCGCGCGGTAGGTCCTTTGACAACCGGCATTAGAAAGTTCGAAAAAGCGAGCGTAATATTGTGAAAAAGGTACTTGCGAAACGCACAGCTCGTTCGCTTGCTCTCGCGCGCGCGCACTAGGCTCCAAAGCGAACTTTCGATAAAAATACCACGCACTCCGAATTGGTTCTGAGAGAGAGAGAGAGAGAGAGAGAGCTTGAGAGCGTGAAAAATCGGTGAAATCGGCGCCCTTCCACTCGCCAGTGTGCGCGGTACTTGATTCATCGTAATTATCAAGCAGGAAACAGGCGTTTTTCTGGTGCTTCGTACACTACGTCTGCAAGATGAGACCGTGCACTTTCCGGCGACAGTTCGTTTAGCTACTCGATCGACTAATGCACGCGCGTCGATTTCTTGCCTTTGTCGAATTGCAATTCGAACGTCAAGCTTCCTCGCACAGCGAAAAATAACATCTCAAGTACCTTTCTCCGTGTCTCGGAACATAAATGGCTCGACGAGAGCCAAAAAGGATGGAAGACAAGAAAACGTCCCTGAGCGCGCGCGCGCAGGGCATTCCGCGCGCCGTCGTGCAGTCGGCGAACGGGGAAAAGAAAGGAGAGACAGGGAAAAAGAGGTATACACAGGCGCGTACGTACGCGGATTCCCACAAACTCGCAAGGTGAGAGAGCAGATAAGCCGCCGCGATACATACATATTAGAGTATCCCGTGCGCGAGTAATCGTGACAAAAAATAGGGTGGGGGGTGGCTGAGGGGTAATCTTGGATGGAAGAGCGAATCTATGTGCCTTACATTTCGAGTATAACTCACGTCCGTAGGCGATTATACATTTTGAAATAGTGAAATGGCCTAGCGCGCGAGCAAGCTGCCGTTACTTCATCGACGCCTTCTGTCATTTCTTTTTCTTTCCTTTTAATTATATCTCGAGCTACAGTTTTTCGGCAATTAAAAATAGATTAGTCTTGAGACATTATTTTTCCCGTACGTAGACGGCAGAAAATTTATCGATCCATCGACTGTAAACCGTTGAGAAATTCGCTTTAATGTAGTTATTCGACGATGCGAGATTGTACCTTTTGCTCGCACTAGAAATAACTGCTGGGTCTTAATTTTCGACCGTCGAATCTGGACTTGAAAATCCAAGAGGAAAATAAAAATTTACAATAACGACTTTGATTGCGTAGATCATAAATTTAATTTGCCTCGTCGTCAAACCTTTCACATCGCATCATCGCGCAGAAACCGCACACACTTTTAAATCCCCTTTGCAAAAAAAAGAAGAAAGGAAGAAAGGAAGAAAGAAAGAAAGAAAACACCCTCGGCAAATCCAGTAATCTCAGTGAGAATCGGTATCCGGCGACCTCGAGAAAGAAAGAGCGGAGAAAGAGTAGTAGTATAGTAAAAAGGCCCCTGCGGGAGAGAATAATCGCGAAGAAGAAGGAGGTAGGAGGAGGACTATGTGGGAAAAGAAGGAAGCTAATCAGAAGCGGAAGCGCGCTCCGACGAGCAAAAGGCCTTGGAAGAAGGTGAGCTGCTCTCGGTTCTGCTCTTTAATTGCCCGCCGATTTACAAGGGCTTAATAAGCTAGGAATTTACATTTTTCGCGATTCCTCTTTTTGTTCGATTAATATTTAAGTAGGCTTGAGTGTAAAGCCGTGTAGCGGAAACGTGGTCTCCTTTTAATAAACAAACGACGGGCCGGCTATACGGTCGGTGCAAATTAATGAAAGTGCGCCTTAATAATTTGCCGCTGCTGAGCCGCCTGTCGCCCAGCGGATAAGGCGAACGCCTTTGCGATGCGTAACAAACAAATGAACAATCATACGAATCAGTATTTCAAATTGCCACTCGAGATTTATACGCTCCGAGAAATAAAAATAAACGTGACCGTGAGAAGTCAATCGTAATATAAGAGCTTACGGAAGCCTTTATCGACGCAACTTTATGTCCCCACCTACGTTTGCAAAATACACAAAACGAAATTAAGACCAAGAGAAATTTCGCTGTTGCGAGATTTGTCGTGAGACTACGAAGAAAAAAAGAAACAAAGGAGCCACGGAACGCCGTAAATTCCCGAGTTTATGAATGAACGGTGCACAAACACGTTTTCCACTTTCGTTGAATAATCAGCGAAATGTATTCGCGAGCAATTCTGTGCAGCATGAGAATCAACGTTGGAAAGAAAGTGCGTGCAAGTGTTGGGAGAGTCGAAAGAAAAAGGCACGCGCGGGGAGACAGAAGTGGAGCAAAAGTCTTTGCGGCAGCGGCGAATGTTGAAACGAAAGAATCGTACATAAGCGCCACATAGAAAAATCGGCTCTCTCGGTATTTCAGCGGTCGCGCTCGCGCCGCTTCCAACTCCAGCAACCCTTTCTACCTTCCCTTTCACTTTCATCTAGCTCGCGCGCGCAATCGAGAGCGAGTGGGAGCCGTTGCAAACGAAAGAGAGAGAGAGAGAGAGAGAGAGAGAGAGAGAGAGAGAGAGAGAGAGAGAGAGAGAGAGAGAAAGAGAAAGAAGGATGAAGAGAAAGGCTATGAGAGTTGTGAAATTCACTGCGCGCTCGCGCATGGGACACGCGTTTATACACAAACGTGAATATTGGATAATTATTTCTTTTCTTTTTTTTTTATTTTCGTTGCTCATTAAAAACCCTACTTTTTTTTCTTTCTTTTTGTACAACCGGAAATTTGACAATGGAAAGAAAGTTCAGTAATGTGTTATGCAAAACAGCATGACGACTCTGCTGCAATGGTTTGACACGAAGACATTTTCTTTTGTTCGGGAAACGTGAATTTGCGTTTGACGAAACCGCTTGGTCTTTTCAAAATTGTCCACGCTCTCGAATATAATACACGTGTGCGTGAAAATTGCATGCGCGATATCATAAGAATGCGTGTTTCACGCCAGACAAGTGAATTTATCGATCGATTAATAAACGTTCTTGTGGAATGTTGTTGAAAAATGATTTGTATTAGCGGATATGGCTGCTTTCTAATGGATTCCTTAGTAGTACTTTGAAAAGAATATTATCATGGTTGTTGAGAATTCAATATTACAAATAGACATTTCTCGGACGCTATTGCATTTCTTGTAATAATTTTTTAAAATAACATTTCAGAATTTTTCCGCTATCGAAATATTTTAATTTATTTCGCTCGACTCGAATGACGTTGTCGCTGTTAGACATAGTTAGATTTATCATTTAACTTTATAATTTTACAATTTATATTATCTTCCATTCCAAAAGATCTATCACGTTTCATTTCGCAACAGTTTAACTTCAAAATTGATGCCAGAAAATCCATAAAATGAAGACTTGAAAGCCGCGTGAAACCAGTATCAATAACGGAACATCATGGGGGTTGAAACGTGGACATTGGAAAAAAGAGTAAATGGAAAACTGCACTGTTCGGCCGAAACCGGTACGCTCATTAGTAGAACATAAACACTGCAGTTAACGGGACGTTTAGAGAGTCTGTCTTTCAATGTTGCGAAGGTCGGATGCAAATTCTCTCTCGCACGCGCCACGTAAAGGGCAATAAATATTGTTCCGTTCTTGGGCATGGTGAGAAATTATGGCGCGTCGAAAGGGTATGCAAGCGGGGTGTCTTTACCCAAAATTGACCGACCCTTTCGCCTGGAGATTCGATCTGCTCTTCTTGCACATGCCTTCGTAGAGAAGACTGCAAAAAATTTCTAGAAAGAGCTGCAGTAGACGTCGCCGAGGGGAACTTGCTGTATCGTTGAAAAGGGTTGATCTTTGAAAACGATTAGCGCAAGTTTTTTCGTGTGGGCGATGTTGGGTATAGAATTAAAACATTTTCTACGCGTTGTCAAATAGATAATTTCACTAATCGATTAGAAAAATTACGCAACATTTCGTAAATTCACCTTGACTAGACTTGTCAAATATATACTGAAACGAGTTTTTTCTATCAATTAACGAGCGAATAATAAATATTAAAAGAAAATCAGATAGTTGTCACAGTGTCTAACCACATAATTTAGAAAAATTACTGCTGTCACTTTAACAGCTATTTGATTTTTAAGTTCACAATTCAGCAAGTGAAATTTAAAAATAAGGCCAGTAGATTATTAATGAGTGTTCGGGTCTCGAATACGTTGTCTTTAATTTTCGTTCATGAAAATGTTTCTTAAATGAAAGCAAGAGTCAACGGACAGTCGCGCTTTGAATAATTCGATTGTAAAAGATGAAACAAAAATTCTGTTGACACTCGGATGCAAATATTTGTTACGATCGATTGAAATACAAAAAAGCCATAAATTTACCAA